CAGCCGCTACCCACCGGCAAAACGTGATTCAGGAGACTCATGACAGACATAGTTATTAGCTGTTTTCATGCTGGTTTTAACTGAACCTGTAAACGTGACGCTTAATGCTTGCCCAGTAAAGGAAGGCGTCTTCCCGAGGCAAAGGAGAAGTCGGTGCGGGAGGGGAGGTTAAGAGAGAATCTGTGGAAGCACGTGAGTCCCAGGGCGGGTTCCCGGGGCTAGGAGACCCCCCTGCAGGAAGGGAGATGGAGGCACGGAGATTAGGGTCAAATAGTGAAGAAGGAAGAGCCCAGGGGCCCCCGGGAGGGTAACGTCCGACCGAGAGACAAGGCAGTGAGTCAAGGGAAATATAAAGAAAAGGCCTGTCGTCAGCGCAGGAGACCCAGCGGGCGTCCGCAGCCTTGTGGCAGAGGAGGGAGGCCGAGCAGTGAGCCCACCCCCCCGGACACCAGGGCCCTGAACTGCTGAGTGACACCCCGTTTCTGTAGGACAACCCGGGACCAGGTGTGTCCACAGGGCCGGGGCGTCAGGCAGGACTCAGGGCTGCAGGCTGCATCCGCAGCAGAGGGCTCAGCCCAGACAGTGCTTGGGGTGGGGGGGCGTCTCCCCGATGCCCCCCTTCCATTTGGGCTTGTAGGTGACACCCCTTCCTGGGGACACAGACATTTGGGCTCAGGCAGCGGTGAGTCTGCAAAGCTGGGGACACTGGCTGTCCCCACCAGGCCCTTCAAGTGGGGAGAGGAGGGAAGATACTGCCTCTGGGGTAGGTTGAGGGCGACCAAGACGTTCACTGGGCAATCAATCCTGTTAGCTTCTCCATGTGACTGAAAGTTTGTGGTCCTAAGAAATAACTGAAGAAAGTTTGTAAATTAGCACTATTTGTTTTACTGGGTCCTTGTGATCTCCGTTAATGACTCAGAAAAAGGCAGACAGACTTCTGGGAAGGTTCACCTGCTGACTGTCGAGTCAGCACACAGTCACGTGGTCGGTGCGGTTCGGGGAAATTCAAGGGTCTGGACGTGGGTGTTGGGAGGCCGTGAGCCAGCAAATCTGCTGCTAAAGGGCAGAAACAGGGCCTCGCGCAGCAAGGTCCTTTGAACGCCTTTGCTGTGTTTT